AATTATCAAAATTTCCCATTAATTACAATCCCCAAATTACTTTTTAATGGATTGAGATCATATTAATTGTTTGATCTATTTCCCTCATTTTTTTTTATTCATAAATAATATACAGAGTCATCATATTATTTATTGGTGCAAATGAAACCTATTAATATTGGCAGTGAGTCTTAATCCCTACATTCCTTATGTAATCCCTCTTCTTTAGCTTCCTTATGTTTTCTAAGTGTTGATCCTTGTAAATATAGAGTTAGAAATCTCAACTATATTGGAACAACACTGTACAGCCATTGACAGTATGCTAAATTGGGGTAATGTGTGCATTTCTCTTTTTTCTCCTCTTGATCCAGCTGTTTCTGAGAAGCTGCACTTTGGGCACCGGTTCAGCTCACTGAGCCAAGCAGGCGACCATTCGCCACACGGCTGAGAGTGGGTTCGAATCCACTCTGACTCTCTCTCTTGCACAGACAGCATCATAGCATATGTCATCTCAAGGTAACTTATACAGGAAGGTTAAGACTCTCTGTGTGTGTGCGTAAACTGAATTATTTCAGAGCAGTAGCACCACTAAGCATTGCACCTTACCGCCTTTGCTCGTCTCCATGCTCCCCAGAAGGAACTGTTAGGCACTCGTCCATGTGACCGTGAAGTAGGCGCAGAACATCTCCTCCAATAAGGAAACCTAAAAGAAAGCAAAGGGTGAGGATTGTTTTTTTATTAAATGAATGGAGATAAAAGGGGCAGATAGGAGGGCAGATCAGAGGGTGAAACTTGATACATAATTCTCCAGAGAAATGACAAAAAAGCAGCAGTACACCTGCTATCTTGCATGCGTTGCTATTTTTGAAACTCATTTGAGTATTCGGATGAACCTGACATGGGAAGGCAGCAACTGATCTTTATATTTCTGAAACACCCCTGTTCAGATATATAAAGATCAGTAGAAATACTTGTCCAAATGAAAAACAGCTATGTTTCAAACAATGGCACTCAAAACATCAGCGTCGGTGAAAAAGTGAGTCATGAACTATTTCTGGACGTCCCACAAAAATGAGAATTTGGTTACAGATACAAAATTGTGAAAAGCTCCACAGCATTTTGTATAGAGGTGTTATACTGTACAAAGATGACTGACGTTACTGCACCCTACTTGGTCAAATCTAGACAGAGAGAATTATTAAGAAAGGTTTTCAGTCTGTTTGTGGATATACACAGTAATAGATGTAATAGAGGTCAGCAAGCACCTTGTTCCAAAGAACAGGACCACAATAACAGATAGCACTCTCAGCAGACTGTGATCTGATTCTGGGAACAGTTAAAAGATCTGAACCTGATGACCTGAGAGGTCTGACTGGGCTGTAGACAGTGAGCAAATCAGAGATGTACTGGGGCGGGGGGACTAATAGAACTAATAGAAGAATTTTAAAGGTAATTCTATATTGCCCTGGAGCCAAATGAATAGAACTGAATGAGCTGAAGACGTCCTACTAATGATTTGGGGAGTGCTGCAAACAGAGCATTGTGATAAGCTATTCTAATAATCTCACCAGTAGCTGCCTCGTCCTGAGCCTGGTTCTTCCTGTTAAAAGGGAGTTTTTCATTCAGATTGTCACCAAGTGCTTGCTCACAGGGGGTCATCTGCTCGTTGGGGCTTTCTCTGTAATATTGTAAGTTCTTTACCTCAAAATATAAAACTCCTTGAGGCAGCTGGTGTTATGATTTGGTGCTTTATAAATAAAGCTCAATTGAATTGAACTAGAACGAATCTACTCAATATGAACAGGATCCACTTTCTCAGTGTCATTTTGAAGATAACAACCCATGTTCCTCTCTGGAGCATCCATTGGAGTGTGAATGTCAGACAGCAGAAAGAAAAAAGTGCTTGTTTTAGGCATGTTGTATAAATAACTATGAGTATGTAAATTAGAAAAGCGTTACAGAAGAACCAGCCCATTTACGATTAAATAAACCAAGGACTGACCCTGGAGAAACTCTGATTGAATTTTCAGTTTTTAACCTTTGATTTTGATGGGAGCCTGACCTGTTAAACCAACAGTGTCACAAAGCCTTTGAATTAGGTTGTCATGGTCAACAGTGTTGAAAGCAGCAGAGACATCAGGAAGAACTGAAACTCTCTGTGAATCACTGTTGATCCTCCTGTTCATCAGTAATAACTGTTTAGTAAGAGCTGTTTCTGTGTTATGATGAGCTCTGAATCATGACTGCTACTTATCATTAAGACTGTGAGTTGAAACGATTTTCCACATACTTTGCTGAGGAGTAAAAGATTAGGTCTGTAATTATTAATTACCAATAGATTACAGTACCAATAGATTACAGTACATATAAGTGACACAGGGAACCTGCCAGACTGTAGAGAGCTGTTGATAATATTTACTAAATGGTTTATAAAAATTGAGATGCAGATCTGAACAGTTTGGTGGGGACGGGGTAAAGTAAAGAAGGTTTGCTGAAGATTTGCCAAATAGAAGGCCATGCTTTAAACTGCAGGGCGTGACACGGATGGACAGGGTTTAATGTGAACAACATCACAGGGTCTTTGAGGTCTGCTGGCTTCCTGTTGGTGACTGATCCATTGTTATTGCTTTAACATGAGCACAGTAAGTAATATACGGATGTATTAGTAACTGTAGATGTTGAAGAGTTATGTGATCATGAGGTCCCAAAATGGGAATTATAGGAATAATGTTTTTATCCAGGTTGTAAGCTAGGGATAGGAATACTGATAAGAATTTAGCAATTCCATTAGTAGTGCAGTACGCTATTTTCCTCCTCGCCACACAAACTGGAATCAGGTTCTTTACAAGAACCAGTTCTCAGCTCCACATGATAAGCAGCTGGAATAAGTGTGGGTTGATTAGGACTGGCATAAGGACCCAGATGATAGTAGCTGGACTGCTCAGACTGAATAGGTGGTAAAGAACTGATTTAACCTGCTGAAATGGGAATACAGAGTGGACAATAGGAGATGTTCGAGAACAGACGTTTTAGTTTAAGTTCGTTTGAATGCTTGTATTTGACTTTCCAGTTGGGCTGTTTTCTGGCTGAGCTGAAGAGTAGCCAGAAGGCAAGATGGTAGCAGATCTCTGAGGTGGAATCCGTCTGTAGCTATTTACCATTGGGTGCCATAGGGTGGCCAAAGGGGGGATCCACAGAGTAGAAGACTACACACTGACAACAAACTGAAATGGGTTGAAAACACCGCTGCACTCTACTCTTTTAATATCTGTCGGACGGACAATGCTCAGGATTGTCTATGAGTCTGTTGTGGTCAGTGCCATCCTCTGTGCTGCTGTATGCTGGAGAAGCAGGTTGGAGGTTGTGGATGCCAACAGACTCAATAAACTGATCCCCAAACCAAGTAACATTGTGGGGGTGGAGCTGGACTCTCTTAAGATGGTGTTGGAGAGTCCAAGATAAGGACAATACCTCCTACCGACTCCATGATGTACTGGCCAGTCGCAGGAGCATGCTCAGTGAGAGACTGAGATGACCAAAATGCACCACTGAACAAGACAGGAAGTCATTCCTGTACAACTCCTCCATCTAAAGCACAAGTACACATTGCAATAGTTGCACATCCTTACTAATTGCACATCCTCTACCGAGGCAGTAACAGTACAGTATGATAAAACGCGCACCTCTATGTCGACCATTTATATTTAATTAGTGTAATATAGAGGGATATTTATAATGAGAGCTATTTGTATCTATTAGAGTCATGTTGTTATCATTTCCAACTTGTAATATATTGTTTTATTTAGTTACTGTTCTTACAGTCTTGGAGTAACTGTGACTACATAATTGGACAGCGGTCATCCAGGTAGTATATCGCAGCTATATGGTGGAAATAAAGCATTTTGACTCTTGCTATTGACGTCTGTTTAAGAATGTAAGTAAAAACTTCTTAAGTTGTTGAAAAGATGACAATATTTGTTTTCAGTGCAGCTAAACTTTAATAAACTGTCTTCTACAGAAAAACCTGATAAGTCCAACTATGACAGGCTCGTATATAAGCCGACTGTTACAACACATGAACTGTGCATGGATGGGGTTTATGCTATATACTTGTCCCTTTTTTGAGAATACCGATTATTTAAGGGTCAGATTATTGTTCAATTTATTTTTGGTTGTTGTTATATATATTTTATATTTTATATTCTTGGTGTTTATTTACTTTATTATTGCCCAGAATAAACACGTATATTTGTGAACAAAGGTAAAACTGCAAAAAAGGAAGAAAAAAGAAGAGAGAGAGAAAGAGATAAGGATACCTTGTGCTACTTCACTCCCAGAACAGATGGGAGCCACACTCCACAGTGTCTGCTGGAAGGCTGCATCGACATGGAGACTGCCATTACCATAGGACAGGTGCTACAGGAAACAGACGTGAGTCATGTTTGAACTATTTACTGACACACCACATTGAAATATATACAGAAAGTGTTTCCAAATCAGAAACACCAGTTAGACAGTAGGAAAAGCAAATCAGTCCTGATGCATGAGATTATGTGATTATTCAGATACTTTCACAGTACAGGATTAGAGGTACAGTTTTATATTCTATAAAGTAAGTGTTTTAAATATATAGAGAGGGAAAAGGAAAGCAGAGCCAATGCAGAGCAAGATGCTGCAGAATGATTTCGGGAAATTAGGGCCGAGTCACACAGGCATAGAGACTCTTCAGCTTTCATCTGGCACCCACGGGTCCCAAAGGAAACATTTATTTCCCAACTGTGTTGAGATTTGTGACATGATCACATTATTTGTGCAGATTTCTCAGTTGTCATATCATATTACAATCCAATCCATAACTTTAATAATAAATGATGAATACAACAAATACTATACATTTAATAAATAATTATAATATTAAAACTAATAATAATAATAATACATTTTATTTAAAAATAGCACCTTTCAAAGCACCCAAGGACACTGTACAACAGATAAAAACACAGAAACTGGAAGTAGTTTTGTTGCCTAAACCTCAAAAAAGACCCAATAAAATAGTGAATAAAATTGGAAAGTATTTGCAGTCTCTTGTGATTGTATGCCAACGCCACACAACCTTGTACTCTTTATAAAACTAGTGTTATAAACACCAGTTACATCTTTACAATAACTGTGCAGATAACGGTCTGTAAACCAGTTATTAACCGGAGTATAAACACTGTTATCTTATTGTTTTTCTACAGTAAATGTATTTATAAAGGTGCTACTGACATGAAATTATCACCAGATGTTGGCAACAACCCATCCAATACAAAGATGCAAAGAAGATGTCCATGAATCTTCTTTAGATCAATAGAAAGGAAGATGGCGCCTGTGTGTTTGGCATGCCGTCTATCGCTCTCTTCTATTTGTTTTATTTTATTGTTTTTAGTCAATTTTGTGCAACATGTCAGCCCTACATTGTTTTATGATCGCCAGACATTATTGGAAATAGGCTTATCTACCCAAGCTTTAGCTTGGTTTGGAAATGGCAACCAAGGCTTTCTGCCTCCTGATTTG